AATAATTTTAAAAAAAATAAAAGAAAAGTAAAATAATATAAATTTTTACATATAAATATTTTTAATTTTGGTTTATATATATATAAATAATTTTTTAATTATATTATTAAGCAGGACGGGTATTAACATCCCCGTCCCCGCTCCCGATTTTATCAATCGGGGAAAATCCGAACCTGATAAGCATGGGTTTTCCCCGTCCAAATCGGGGCGGGGTCGGGCGGGTACCCACGGGGACGGGTTAGATTGTCATGCCTATTTAGGTTTCTGTCTATTTAAGAATTCTTGTTATTTGGATGTAATTATGAAATATATTATTCCCTTTGAAATTTAGATTGTTACCCTATAATTTTTTTCTACCATAACCCTTTTTCCTCACACTTCTACACCACCACGTATCAGTTTATCTCAAATCAGGCAATGAATACAAGTAAAAATCCTAAGAAAATATTTATGAAGGAGTCTCTGACCAATTGATTCTGTGTGCCCAAACTATCAGTGCCAAACATAAATGATGACTTAGAGGAAGGAACATTATTTTGCAGAGTTGACACTGTCATCATTTCCCCAGGTGTTTGTGTAGATGGTGTAGAAGGTGAGCTGGCAGGTGGTCCTGTTGTGTTTGCAGTTCCAGAGCTATTGGCAGGACCTGAAGATGATGCTGATTTTCGCTTTCGCACTGTTTTACTTTTGGAAGCCTTAAAGTTAACACACAAAAAAAAAAAAAAAGAAAAAAAAAACTGATTAAAAGGCCTAGCTACGCATTGCAGCCAGTAAATACTGTTGAAAGGCAGCAGATGAAAACCTGATCGTTTCCTTGTAAGGTATTGGACACATTGCCCTCTATTGTCATGCTTCCATGACCAATTTTTTCTTGCAGGAGACTCTCAGACTGCTGGCCTGAAAGAGGGTGCTGTGAATATTGTTGAAGCTGCTGGCTACTCTTTTGAATTTGTTGCTGTAAAAGACAATTAAATATACAATGAATACTTTGGGGAAGCTCAGGCAACAACTTCTGATGGAATACATTCAAAATGGTGGAAAAGTTAATCCAAATCAGGCACAGGTGTAGGTGTCTATGTGATACCTTAAGGAGCATATCCGAGTCTTGATGGGGCAACACTGAGGAATAAACTTGTGCAGATGATCCATCATTTGGCATTAAATCACCTAAAGAATTTGATTGGCCATCTTTCCCAATACCCATGTTTTGATTATTAAAAAGCATCCTGAGTCTTCTGCTCTCAAAATCATTGACAGAAGGAGAAATCAAATTTTGTTGTGCTTGAAGCATAAGTTGCTGCCGTAGAGAAAGTTGATTGAAAGATTGTGGAGACTCAATCAAACTATTTGGCTGGAGAAATCCTGAGCGAAGCTGATCCATTCCCTAAAATAATTTGAGACCAAATCATAAATAGGATTGATATGACAGTAGAAATAACATTAATATACCTAAATTACGTATATGGGAGAAAGATAGCCTTATATTATTATTTTGTATCTCCTCAGATATGAAATTTAAAGCACAATAATTTAGTAAACTAAAATATCCATCTCACAGTGGATTTTGGCAATTTCAATTTTACAATGGCATCTCATATAAGTTAAAACTTTAACAGAGGCCAACAGTAAAAGTTATGTCCAAGCCAAGTAGAGTAGCTTTCTCTAACATTGAACTGGACAGATGCTCTATCAGACAGGTGATGCCCCTTAATTATTAGGTTTTATAAGAGAGTTTGCTTCAGTATCACAAAACTATTTTTTAAGTTAAGTGTCCAATCTTCAACCTTAAAATGCATGCATGGAGAAAGTTAATAATGATTCTTATGCTGAAAAAGATAATGTGATATATTTATTAAGCATGCAACATCAATTATATAATCCAATAAACTTTACAACACAGCACATCTGCACCATATGCTATTCCCTAACATATTCAGATTTATAGTTTGAAATTCGAATTTGACAAATCAATGATCCAAGAAAGAAAGACTCAGGAAACCAGCATATAAACAGCATTACAATTTTGTTAGGGAAAATTAGATCAAAGTGATTCTTACTGCTAGGGGCCATCCTTTCAAAGTCAAATTGCTACCACCTTGATTTGAACCTAAAATGAGAATATTGTCAGCCAAAAATCAAATGCAAATTGTAAAATCAAACCATTACAATATAATGCAGATCCAAGATCTATCATTATTCAGGTGGCATATAAAATAACAATGAACCATAGCAGGAAATGTTAAATATTTCAAGATATCAAAGCTGACATATTTGTGTTGAGATATTCACTCCAATCACTTAAAAAGCACAGAAAACCTTGTGGAAAATATTGTGTTGATTTGGGTGTTCCTTAAAAGAAAAGGCATGTTCATAGTAATGAGTATAAAACTTGTGCATCACATTCTTAAATCTTGATACATATTTATGTTTATAATGTCTTTAACTTAAAAAACAATAGCATGTCATTGGATAAGTAATGTTTCTTAAAGTCCATTTACTGTTACAAGTACAATTTTTAAGGTACAAAAATAACATGGGAGAAAAATTGAATTTAGACTTTGGACATCTACCACTTTTATTTTGCATGTTGCATGGCTTTGAATGTTTGCAAAACCATATCATCCACAAGCTTAGGATGTCAGGGGAAGGTCTACCAATGAATGATTTCTTATCTCTGGCATGATGTAACAGATTTTTAGATTTTAGAAATGAATTATATGTTTTTTTTTTTTAACAATGCAACAATCGGCAAGAGAAGACCCTAAACTATATTTTAATAACGTAAAGTGAACTGATGTTTTTGGGAGGGAGGAATCAACTATAAATCGAATTACACAAGCGATAACAAGGAGGAGCATTTGCGAACAATGTTGATTGATAAAAGAAAGGAAAAGAAAACTGGAGACAGTTGAAGTAAATAACAGATCTGGAGACACCTAAGCTAATGATTCAATTGCCTTTGCCATTCAAAAGCTTGAATCCATGACCAATGACAAATGTTTTTAAACAAACTCCAGAAACAAATTACACTATTCAAAGTCAAATAATTTTTTTTTATTCTACAAAAGTGTTGTATCCATACCCAACAAGATTCAAATATTTTGCAGGTCTTGAGTGTCCAAACACAAAATTTATATCCGCATGAAAGAACAGTTCCATGTAACTCTTCATGAGCATAGATATTATGTACAGTGATTTAAAGTCAACAGGAATAAATCAAATAAATTGCACTTCCTAAAAAAGGGAGTGAGAACTGGCCAAAAATTAACAAATGCTGAGTATCTTTTAAGATTTCTTTTGAACTTGCCATTGTTGCCAAGTCTGTATTTTGAAACACTAACAAGTTAAAGTAATTTTAAAAACAATTAGTTTAATTTGAAACAACAAAACCAGTACCATGACAACCCATAAAGGATCCTTCTGAATCAACAGCTTGAGACCTCATCATTGCATTGATCATATCACTCTTTATGTCCTGTTTCAGGGCCCAAGACCAGTAAATACAAAACATTATAAATTTGAAATGGAGTCATACAAAAATCAAGATAATAACGATGTGCATATTTACTTGTGTAGACCCTGGATGTTTCTGGTTTAGATTTTGAACATGTTGAATATTTCCCGGTACAATGATTGGTGCACTGAGTGATGTCTGTCTGCAAACAGAAATTTGACAACTAGCAAATTCAGCCCAAAATGAAATAAGCAGTCAGGAATAAGACAACATGAATAATAAATGTTCTCATCAAAGACAAACAATTGGTAAGTACCCTGTAGCCTGTTCACCAGTTGTTCCTGCTGCTTTAAACAATAAGGCATGGTTCGGATTTAAAAGCTGACCAACATCATCAGCTGCTTTTTGCTGCATAATAAACAATAGAAACAATGTAATTCAAATCATATAAAAATAGCAGGAACTTGTTATAATCACAGAAAGACTAGATACCTTAATGCTTGCATCATCTAAAGTGTCTCTCTGAAGTGGGAGCTTCAACCTGTCCTCATATGTTTTTGTTGCCACAGCATTAGAATTACCCCGATCCTGCCTCATCAAAGGATCATTGCTAATAGGTCCACCCAGACGATGTTGCTGCTGCTGAGCATGTCTTTGAAATAAGAGTTGCATTTGCATATGTTGATTCTGGCTTGCATTCTGAAGCTCTTGCTCTTGTTGCCTCTGAATTGCTCGAGCCTTAATTTGCTGATTCTGTCAGTTTCAAATTTAACTAAGCTAATATTTATGATTTGTCATCTATATGTTTATTAAACACAGAAACAAAGGCAAACCTTAGAAATTGAAACAAACATCTAGTTCTGAATTTGACAGTGACTCAGTAACTTAAAATAACAGATGTCAATGTTTACAATCTTAATCATCTTAAAACCACATAAAATAATAGTAGCATATTGCAATGAAAATAATGGCTAATAAATAATGAATATCAAATCATGGAATGTTACACTAATACACACACATACACATGTTTGATCAGATTTTCAAAAAAAAACATATAAGCATATGTAAAAAAATAAAAATAAAAATAAAAATAAAAAGAGCATCAATGAGGAACATGTACGTTATCTTAGTTTCCATTTTCCAATACTAGAAGCTGGAAGATAAAAGTGAACATATACTAAGAAGGATGGCAAGGAATTAATAGCAGAAAAGAGGAAAAGATAATTATAAATTAATCTATATTAATAACACACCTTGATGAGAGATGCTGTTGCTTCTGAGTGCTTCTGGGTTACCCTGGCAATATACATGTCCCAGAAGACAGACCACCACTCAAAGAGAAAACCACCTGGTGCGTCTATAACTAGAGCATGTGACCAAAAATAAAGGTCAAATTCAATAAATTAGAAGGGCATTTGTATTTGCATATACCATTTTTCCCCTTAAGAATGCTAATATTATTATCTTACCAACAGGATCCGTTGAAACATTTCCTTCAGCTTGAAATATTCTAGCAGAAGCATGTAATTGTCTCTTCACAAGATAATCATAAATATACACATCTAACCTGTTCCCCAACCCAAAAAAATGACAAACACGGTTAATTAAAAAAATAATAAAAATTATAACAAAATAATCAAAGTGATAGCAACTAGCAACTATCAAGATTGACTGGGGATGGTGCATATACAAATCCAAGCTAAACAATCTCTAGACTAACAAAACAATACATCCATTCCACATAATATTCACCTAAAGTAACATGACAGAGACAAACACAACAACCAAATTCTGTGATTGCTGGTAGAACATAAAGGTATAATATATCATGCATAGAACAGTTATAACTACAGGATAAAGTGTCATAAATATTCAATATTTAAAACTAAAAAAAAAAGCTAAAGACCAAGCAAAAGGGTGCATAAATTTACATATGAACTACTCCAAACTGAAAACAACCAGAAGAAAAACCAAAGCTTGGAGTGAGATGCAGAAACAAATCCAATAAGAGATGCAAAAAAACAATAAAACAAAGATAATGCAAAAACCTTGCAATACAAGAAGCCATGAACAGGTAACAGAAGGGGTGCAAGAAAACCCAAGAACTCGACACCAACGTGATCACATGAAAACCTAAACCCTAAAACAAAAACATGAAAAAGGAAGGGGACACAGAAACCACCATCACGAGAAACTGAACAAAAAACAAAAGACAGAAATCAAGTATGAAGAAGAGGAATAAGAAAACGGGTCAAAAGAAAATAGAAAAGGTGGCAAATTCCAAGCATAAAAGGTTTCAATACATTTTATCAGCTTCCCAGGTTGGGGGAGTCATGGTTTGAAATCTGAAGCGTGGAAAAATCTGATCTTGGGGATGTCCCCTCGTAGGAGCTATGTCAGTGTATGGCTATGGTGACTGCGTCAGTAAATATGTTTCCCGCTACACAGTGAGAGAGAGACAAAAAATGCTTAGATTTTTCAGAACCAAACAATGTTAAAATAAGTAATAACCATAACCATTATTTTAAAATTTTCAAAACTGTTTATTAAAAATATAAAATACGTTTTGTTAGAAAAAAAAATCTTATATATTAATGCGAGTAATTTAAAAAAATTATTATCTATTTTAAGATTCTTTTTAATCTATATTTATTTTAAATTTTATTTATTATATTTTATTTATAAATTAAATTTTAATAATTTAAAATAAATAAACATTTATATATTAAATACAATGTGTTTTTAATGATTTTGATAATATTATATATATATATAATATGACACTTATAATATTTAAAAGAAAAATATATGTATATAAAATGATATTTATTATATAGAAAGATTTTTCCAACTTCTAATTTTTTAAAATTTTAAAAATATAATTAACAATTAAAAAATTGTCACAAGATAAATTATATAAAGATAAATTATATAAGATAAATATAAAATTTAATTTATATTTATTTTTATATTTTAAATATGAACAGTTATCTTTTATGGGAGTATTTTTTAGATTTTTTGAAATGATTTTTTGAAATTTTTTAATTTTCTATTTAATATCATTTTTATCATATTTTTTATTTATAAAATAAATTTAACTAGTATTTTAATATATATATCATAAGATAAATGTTTATTATATTTATATATATCTATACATTAAACACGAGGATTTATCTAGTATTTTTAGGGATAATTTTTTTAATGAGAAGGTTTGTAGGTTTTTTTTTAATTTTTTATTTAATTTGATTTTTATTTATTATAATTATT